CAAACAGAACGCGTAAATCAGACCCTAGAGCAATATTTACGTTGTTTTTCTAATTATCAACAAGATAACTGGTGTGATTTACTACCATTGGCTGAATATTGTTATAACAACACACTGCACAACTCAATTGATATGTCCCCTTTCAAGGCTGCTTTGGGCTATAAATTAGGGTGGAAATTTATTGGGCCGTTTAAAGTACGCCGTGTTTTGAATAACGTTGCTGTTGAAGTTGAATTGCCAAAGAATTTGAAAGCTCTACACCCTGTGTTCCACATGAGCTTGCTAAAAAAGGATCCTGGTCATTGTGCATGGCGGCCTGCCCATGCCCCTCCCCCTCCCATCGTCTTTGAGGGTGAGGAACATTTTGAGATTGATGACATTCTTGATTCCAGGTTGAAACGTGATAAACTTTGGTATCTCATCCAGTGGGTTAACTTCGGACCCCAGCACCGCGAATGGGTGGAAGTAGGGGATATTCGGGCCCCTTACCTGTTCCAGGAGTTCCACAGACGGTTCCCGGGCAAACCGGGAGGTCTCCCGGAAAATCTCCAGGGCTAGCCGGGAGGTCTCCCGGATCTTCCGGGAGGTGGAGGTTAATGTGTATTTTCGAGGGGGCAGTATGTCAGCTAGCTGCCATTGTCATTCCGCTTCCTGTGTAGTATCCTTCACCCCCCCCCATTCCTTTTTTGCTTCAGTTATGTTATGTAGTCCGCGGAACTTGCCAAAGTCGTGCAGCTGGGTGTAGGGGGAGAGCTTCGCCTAGAATGTTTTGGGTATCTCGCATGTGAACTGAACCTGTCTTGACATTATAGAACTGTTGCGTTCCCATGCAATGGGCGCGAACTGTATGGTCTATTCCCGCCAGCGGGAACTGGACTCATTGGTCCTTACCTGGTTCAAATGTCTATATTATGCTTTCCCTGGCTACCTGTAGTTATTCCTAACAATGTCCTGTTCTGGTTAAACCAACGCTTTGAAATAAACCTTGCTTGATTTTTCAACGTGGAGTTGTTTTGCTTGCTTGGGATCCAACACTCAGGAGACGTGTGAGCTGGTCTGGTACGCCCAACTCTTTAAGGAATTGCCACAGTTTGCTGTGGTCCACGCAATCAAAGGTTTTAGCCATAGTCAGTGAAGCAGAAGTAGGTGTTTTTCTGGTATTCCCTTGCTTTCTCCATAATCCAGTGAATGTTGTCAATTTGATCTCTCATTCCTCTACCTCTTCGAAACCCGGCTTGTACTTCTGGCAGTTCTCTATCCACGTACTGTTGAAGCCTAGCTTGTAGGATCTTGAACATGACCTTGCTAGCGTGTGAAATGCATGTAATTATGCGATACTTTGAACATTCCTTGGCATTGCCCTTCTTTGGGATTGGAATGTAAACTGATCTTTTCCAATCCTGTGGCCACTGCTGTGTTTTCCAAATTTAATTTACATTTATATCCTGCCCTCCCCACCATTTGGCAGGCTCAGGGCGGCTAACAACATATATAAAAATATATTAAAATTCCATTAAAACTGTCAATCAATATAAAATCATACAACTTATATTAAAAGATGGCAAATGTTCCGATAGCGACTGTCAACTGAACACTGTCCACTGGCTCACGCCCAGCTATAAAGCCTTGGTTGGTGGTGGCATTGGTATTGTCAGTACCAATAGTGGTACAGTTGTTGGCACAGTTGGTAATCAGGCCAGGTCCAGTTGTTGTTGTTTTTTAAACTGCCTCAAAGAGGTTCTCTTGTAGTGAACTACATTTATTTGTCATTACAATTCCTAAATATTTTATTTTCTTCTGTAGTTGAAATCCTGAGATATCTTGTAGTCGCATTGCCTGCTCCTCTTCCATATTTTTGGTCATTAACTTAGTTTTATTAATATTGATTCTCAAGCCGGCTACAAATCCATAGTTTCCAAGTTCTTGTTTCAAAATATGAATTGAGTCCAATGGGTTCTCCAATATGAATACTAAATCATCTGCAAATGCCAAAAGTTTAAATTCTTCTCCTTTTAATTTCAGGCCCATAATCTCTTTCTGTCCTCTTATTGAATCATTAAGTATCTCCAATACAAATATAAATAGCAAAGGGGATAATGTACATCCCTGTCTCATCCCTTTTTGAATTTCAATATATCACGTCTGTTCCCCATGAATCATTACCGCCGTTGAATTTCAATATATCGCGTCTATTCCCCATTAATCATTAGCGCCGCTTTTTGTTTATTATAAATTGTCTGGATCATTTTCACAAAGTTAGTGCTGACCTGTGACTCTTTAAGAGCTTTCCAGCATAAATTCCCAATTGACGCCGTCAAAGGCCTTTTCCGCATCTAGGTCCAGTTGTTGACACAGTTGGTAATCAGGCCAGGGCTAGGGCCAGGGACATACGATTGAGGTGGCACTCTACTTAAAAGCCTGGCGGAAGAGCTCCGTTTTACAGGCCCTGCGGAACTGTAAAAGGTCCCACAGGGCCCTGATGTCTTCTGGGAGCTCATTCCACCAGTGAGGGGCTGCCATAGAGAAGGCCTTGGCCCTCGTTGTAACCGACCTGGCCTCTTTAGGCCCCGGAAGAACCAGGTGATTTTGGGTGCTCAATTTTAGTGCTCGCTGGGGTACATGCGGGGAGGTCAGCAGGTCCCTGGCCATATAGGTCAGCAGGTCCCTGGCCATATAGGGCTTTAAAGGTAAGAACTAGCACCTTGAAGGGAACCAACTGCTTAATCAGCTGTAAATGGTAAAAGGCCAACTTTGCAGTGGCTACTACCTGGGCCTCCATCATTAGGGAGGTATCCAGGAGCACTCCCAAGCTCCTAACCTCCGGTGCTGGTACCAACAGCGCCCCATCAAAGGTCAGGAGTGGGATCACTAACCTTGGGCCACTCCGACTCAGGCACAGGACCTCCGTCTTCGTCGGATTCAGTTTCAGACAGCTCTGTCTAAGCCAACCAGCCACGGCTTTCAGCGCCAGGTCCAGATCTCCCGGACTAGAGTCTGACTGGACGTCCCACAGCAGATAGAGCTGAGTATCATCACCATATTGATGACAACCCAGCCCATGTCTCCGGGGCAATCTGGGCGAGGGGGCACATATAGATGTTAAACGGCATTGGTGAGAGCACTGCACCTTGGGGCACCCCGCA